ATATATATATATATATATATAGCTAAATCCCCATTTTTCCAACCCTAGCTAAATCCCCATTTTTCCATTTCTTGCACTCATATTCTCTCTCGTCCAACTGTTGAATTGATTGTCAGAATACAAATGATCGTCCGACCATTTTCTCAACTAGTAATCTTTGCCTTCTAACAAGGTACTCAAGTGCGTTTGTGATGTCTATGTAAAGGGGAGGTGGCCAAAATTTTGCTGGTGCATTTTTTGAGATCAACAACCTGTATAGATCTTTCATCCTCATTAATACCTGTAAAGATCTTTCATCTTTATTAATAGTCTACTGCTACATTGCTGACTTCATCCCAAGCTTATCTCTCCCCCAAACACACACACACAAAACAGTTTCCTTTGCAACTACACTTGGTCTGTTCTTTGAAATGGGCAGGTCACCTTGCTGCGACAAAGTGGGTTTGAAGAAAGGACCATGGACATCTGAGGAAGACCAAAAGCTTTTGGCTTTCATTCAAGAGCACGGCCATGGAAGCTGGCGTGCTCTACCGGAAAAGGCTGGTAATATACATGAACGAAGCCATCTAATTAAGCATACACAATCACTATCTCAGCATGAATATTTGTTGAAACGGGTTAAACTTTTAACTATAGTTGTTTCATTGACGACTATTGTTGTTGTGGAGCATATATAGGGCTTCAGAGGTGTGGTAAAAGCTGCAGATTAAGGTGGATAAATTATTTAAGGCCTGATATCAAGAGAGGAAAGTTCACTTCACAAGAAGAACAGACCATTATTCAGCTTCATGCTCTTCTTGGAAACAGGTAATAGTAATTATTTATACCTATTTCTAAAAGGATTTAGCAAATAATAATTATGGGTTTTTTTTTCTAGTAAGTTAGAAATTAGAATGATTTAGCATAGACAATGCTAAAATGTTTATGCACAGTATAGTACTACAATGTGAGACATGTTTCATTATAGCTTTTCACTCAATTATTCTTCTTACAGGATCTTAAATCAAAGATAAAGCAGTGAAACAATTTGCTTCATTGTCATGATTCATTTCTTGCAGCAAATTGTGTGCTCGATTTCAACTTTAAACCTGATTTATGTACAAACCAGAAGTACATTATTTTCTAGTGTACACGAAAATATACAAGCTATTATTATTTTTAAGTATCCGGTTCAGTACTGAAAATTTTAGTCCCTGTTCGGGCTCCATTTTAATGTAATTTTGGTAGATAATGTATTTTATGGAAGAATGTGTGGTTAAAAAATGTATTTTGAAATTAATGAAGTCCAAACATGAGCTTATATAACAAACATGAAGTTAGTTAAGCTGTTCGACAATACTAATTGTTCTTGTGATGTTTTAGATGGTCAACCATTGCAACGCTCTTACCAATGAGAACTGATAATGAGATAAAGAACCACTGGAATACCCATCTAAAGAAGAGATTAACCAAGATGGGAATTGATCCGAAGACTCATAAGCCCAACAACCAAGTTCGCGGCTCTGCTCAATCCAAGGACGCTGCGAACCTCAGCCACATGGCTCAGTGGGAGAGTGCTCGACTCGAAGCTGAAGCAAGGATGGCTCGTGAGTGGAAAATCGTTTCCAGTTCTCAGTTCCAAAACAATGACGAGGCTCTGTGGCCATTAGCACCAAAACCATGTCGGCCACCGTGTTTGGATGTACTAAAAGTGTGGCAAGGTGGATGGGCAAAGCCAAAACAAGAGCATGCAACAATTTTTAGCAGTTCTTTCAACTCCCCAAACAGTACCTTGAAATTGTCAGAGAACATTTCCAATATTCCTTCTGTAGGATATGGTGAGGAACATGCATCCATTACTTCCATTAATTGCATCCAGAATTTGGGTCCGTTTGAGGTTGGGACCTGCTCAAAAGAAGAAAATATTCAAAATGACAACCATCCCGGGATCAAGGGCAGAATGGAGGATTCAGTTGATTCTACTAATTATATTGCCGACTCTTTAAGGGTTCCAAGTTTAATGGAGGGCTTTACAGATCTTGTGGTGGACTCTGGTAATGTTGTTGGAAGCTGCATTGGAGATTTTGAAGAGAACAAGAATTATTGGAACAGCGTTCTAACAGAATATTATGAGCACAATTTTAAGTACTAGTATTGAACTGTTTTAGGGACATTTTATAATATTGTTCAGGTGTTTTATTCAGAAAATATCATCAATTAGTGCGTTTAAGAGTAAGAAAATGCTACGTGTACATAATAATGTACACATAGCATTACACTCCCCTCACATGGAGGGGCCCCTCATGTGAGAGGGGTGTAATGCATTGTGTACACCTCATGGTGTACACATAACATTTCCCTTAAGACTATATATTTTTCTGTTGAGTAATAGCTGATTTTAAAATAAGATTTAAATAGATGAATATCTTCTTCTTTTAATGGTTTAGAGTTTCATATCTCAAACTATCTACATTTTTCTCCATTCACATTTACAAAAACTGTAGACAAGTCTAGATTTTGATTAAAAATTGAATTGAAGATAGAAACGAGATTTGAAGATCAAATTTAAATAAATGTGACATCTCTAATGGTTGAAGCTTACACATTGATAAGTGTATAGGCCATTAAATTGGAGTATTTTTTAATGATTTGGATAAGTTATAGTTTAATTATGTATTAATTATGTTTGTTAGGTTTGAATTCATTGCAAATTGGCGGAATTGGAAGAAATGAATGAAAAAGAGTAAAAGGAAAAAAATCCAAAGTTTGGGAAGTAAGTGTAAACATTCAATAGTTAATTCAAACCATAAATGATGATTGAAGATAATATATTATCAATTGGATGCAATCTGGAGTAAAAGGAGTTAAATATAGTTGAAATAATTTCAAAAATCAATTTCCAACTAAAAAAATTATGCTTCGAATTTTTAGACTCAATTTGAGACCAATTTTTTGGATAACAAGCGTTCAAATTGGAAAAATTGTAAATAAGTTCATTGTCAACTGATTTGATCGTCGGAGTGTATGTGACAGTTGCCACGTTCGTTGGGAATGGCCATATACGTCTGACCGTTTGTGTCGTGCCTAGAGAGGAATACACGTAGAGTAGTTCTCGGTTGGCTACATGGAAGGACTGTTTTGCGAGGTCAACAGATTGGCTCCGCCATGGCTTTGGCCTTTTCGAGCTTATTTTCGGAATATATGTTCTAGGTCTGACCTTTTCGGCCTCGACCCTTTTCCATTGGAATATACATTCACAGTCAACTGACTTAATCGTCGGAGTGTATGTGGCAGTTACCACCTTCGTTGGGAATGGCCATATAGGTTCTAGGTTTGACCTTTTTCTAGCTTATTTTTTGCCTCAACCCTTTTCCATCTGTATATAATTCATCTTCAACTGACTTGATCGTCGAAGTGTATGTAGCAGTTACCACCTTCTTTAGGAATGGTCATATACATCTAACCGTTTGTGTCATGCCTAGGGAAGAATAAACATGGAGTAGTTCTCGGTTGGCCACATGGAAGACCGTCTTACGAGGTCAACAGATTGGCTCCACCACGAATTTGGCCTTCTCGAGCTTCTTTTTGGCCTCAATCCTTTTCTTTTTGGCCTCTTCAACCTTGGCCATTTCACCACTTATTGTATCCCTATAGTGCAAAGTTATTTCCAACCTTTGGACTAAGTCGATGTTCTTGGCCCTCAAGTCCTTCACTAGGCCCTCGAGCTAAACGTTTGTACTTAGGGCTCTAGTGATGCAAGCATTGTTAGTAGCCACAAGGTATTCGACAGTGTAAGAGGAGATGTGATCCCTCCAAGCATCGGTCCAGTACTTAATATGGACCATTGCTACTGCTGCAATTTTAAGGGCAGGGCCTCAATCACCACTCTCACAAGCTCCTCTGGGTTTGTCCCCAAAAAATCTACCTCCTAGTCTAAGCCAGCTTTTTCTTCTTCATTGACTCTCGCATCGAAGGCGTGATCTCTTTCACTGGTTCTGGGGTCACTCGACCACCATGGGCACTCTATCCCTTGTTACGACCCTGGTTGGACTGGTATTTTAGCGAGTGGCAGGCCTTGCGATAGTTGGGGCCTTTGAGGACGGCCTAGCCATTCTATTTCCCTTCTTCAGAAAAGGAACCTTCTTGTAGACTGTAGACGACGTCTTTAGGGCTCTGGCCTCAGCCATCAACCTCTGAATTTTCTCAAAATCCGGCCTCAGAGGCTTCTTCTTAGCAAAGTCATCTGCAAAAGGAACAAAGATTAGTTTTCAGCTCACTAAACACCTAGGCAACCACTTCAAGAATTTACCTTGCGAAGAAATAATCATGTTGTTCATGAAGTGGATATTCTTCCTTATCAACTCGTGATAAGACTGGATCTTTTGAGGGAGCTGGTAGATGATGCAAATAGTGTCGAAGTCCTCTATGGACAAATCACATCGAGGCAAGGTACTGCACAAACATAAGTTGTTAGGTGACGAACCAGCATATGTTTAGTTCAAAATAAAGCAAAGGTACTCATTAAAAGTAGAGAACTTTGTGGAGACCAACAGAGGCACCAAGGGGTCCCCTCCATTGTGTCACATCTCCTAAAGGCCCAAAACCATAAGCTCTTTTGATCCTTTATGGAGCTGGGAAGATTAAGCATAAATGGAGTAGGGGCCTACATGACGTGAGGTAGTAACATCCCCTAGATTTATCGTCCCCGTAGTCACTATGAGAATGTAAAGGGTTTGAAAATAGAAAAGAGGATCTCCGTCCCGTAAGAAGCCTCCTTCCACAACATTCACGACCCCACCATTTAGCTTCAGGAGTTCGGGTTCAGTTGGGTGAAGGCTAAGCCTTTGATCTAAGGGTAAACCGAAAAAAGGGATGTATAGGCAACCTCAACCCTGACCTAAGTATCACCTTCCTAACAGCCACACAACCCAACCAAAATTAACAAGCTCACTCGTCAGGGTTTGGAACTATTAACCCTACACTATTCGGGATCCTATAATCGGCCCACAGCTTTATTAAGTCTACAGAGATCATCTGCAATGGTAATCAAAAGCCCCACAATGAATTGAGTTATCTACAAGGCTATTAGGTCGTTTCCAAATATTATCCCTATCCACTATGGCTGCAGACACTTTGGCCGAACTAAGAACAATAGGTTCGTCTAGCCTAACCTCATCTAGGTCACTATCCGACACTCCCAAAACTTAGAAGTCATTTTTCACTTGAAGAAGGAATGGATACTTACGAAAATAACTTAGTGAAAACTTCAAAGAAGATGGCAGGAAAACTTAAGCACGCTAAAATGTCACCAGAGATTTGAGTGAAAGAGAGAGTATAAGATTGGCCAAAGTGAAAAGTTTAAAATATGGGAAAAACGCCTTTTATAGGCAGCCTTCAAAAATCACCACAATTGAATGCAAACACGATCCATCAAGGCCGTTAATCTCTATATAGATCCAAGCTATAGAAATCAAACGTCAAATATGATTGACTCTCACTATCTAACGTTGAAGTTCACGTCGCCCTAAAGTGCGTCCCTTGAACCTCAACAGTCGCTCGCCATGATTAGTGGTGGCAACCTTCTTTGGGAATAGGCAACAATCTAACTGTCTCTCGTGGGACCTACGTCAATTTTCAAATCATTGGCTAATCTGTACATCTAGAGCCTCGTCTCCTTGTGGAACCATACCTCTGTGACCTCAACTTTCTCAAAGTTGCTATCCCCTAAAGCCTTGCCATATTGTCTCTCAAAGCTACTATCCCCCAAAGCCTCGTCCCATTATGGGACGATGCCTCTACAACCTCTGCTTTCTTATAACTGCTATCCCCAGAGCCTTGTCCCCTTATGGGATAACACCTCCGTAACCTCAGCTTTCTTAAAGTGGCAACCACCCACTCATGAGCGATCTAGAAGTCCAGGCATTATATAAATATTCATACCTTGACTTGAGGGACCATTGTTACGTCCCTTTAGTGTAGAAAATGCTTCGGTAAAAGGATAATCCGAGGCGGGAGCCAGGATAGGCTATTAATCGAGATGTCACTGTCCTAAATGACATCATCCGAGGTAAGCGGGGTTTAAACAAAGCGTTGTTGTCTGAAGAGACAGAACCGAGGCATTGTGTATGGGAGAAGTGAGGAGTGCATCTCCACCGCCATTTTGTAAAGATACGAATCTTTTGGTAAAATATTAGTCCATATCTTTGAGAATGATAGATGTGACCTCTATCAAGTGCCAACTCCTAATCAAAAGAATTAAACGCCCGCCCACCTAGGAAAAGATTGGACACCTATGAACGAATGCCACGCACCGTTAGATGAGGCCGCATGTCTCACATCTGACAGTATCCCTTCCAACTTCTCCCTATAAATACCAAGGAGCCCAACCCAAATAAGGTTAGATTATTCCACTAGAAGTATATACTTTCCTCATCTCCCATTTATAAAGATTTTTAGAAGATTACTGCCATTAGAATATACGTTCACCGTTGACTGATTTGATCGTCAAAGTGTATGTGGTCGTTAACATCTTTGCTGGGAATGGCCATATACGTCTGACCATTTGTGTCATGCGTAGGGAGGAATAAATGTGGAGTAGCTCTCGGCTGATCACGTGAAAGGACCATTTTGCAAGGTCAACAAAAGCTATGACCAAAATTTTGAACACTATTTAAGGATGACACTACGCAAGTCGCAGTGCGCGTGAGACAATTCTGGCCTGTGCGCAACATACCAAAAATTTGACATGGGAGCCATTTGGACCAATAGCGCACGCGCGGTGGTTATGCCTGTGCTTGTGCAAGATTTTTTTGCAGATAAATCAGCAGTAACCTTTCACGATTCAAACTCTTTTGAGACCCAAATTGGACACAATTTTGGCCGATTTTATGGCTATTATGAAAAAAGAACAAGGGTTACACATTGAAAAAAAAAATTCATACCTCTTCATACATAAGAATACCATTAAATTCATCAAGAACAAGTGGTCAATTCATCAATTTTGCGAGAGAAGATCAAACCTTGGCTAGAATTAAAGGCTAATTATATTAAGAAATTGAAGAATTCAACCTTGGACTTGAAGATCAACATCTTTTGAATTCTATATAGATCTGAGTGATATTTTTCTATTATTCTTTTTGTAATTTATGTATTAATATGT